TTTGAGACAGGGTCTTGCTCTGTCACCCAGGCTAGAGTGCAGTAGCACAATCATAGCTCACTGCAGACTCAAACTCCTAAATTCAAATGACCCTCTTGAGTAACTAGAACTACAGGTGTGGGTACCCACAACCTGCTAATTTTTACATTTTTTTGTAAAGAGGGGGTCTCACTATATTGCCCAGGCTGGTCTCTTTTTCCTTCTTACTAGAAAATTTCTACCTCCCTTCCAAGAATCTCAACTTATACTTGATTCTTTCAATGCATAGTTAGTAACTGTCAACTAAGGACTGAAAGTATTTTCTATCCTTGAGCCATGCCTATGGCTCTTCATCTCGGGGGCAGAACTCTCTAACTGAGTATAATGAACACCTCATAGATTACATTTCTAGGCAAAATTTTTAACCAATGCCAACAATGTCCACAGAGAAAAATTAGACTGCATTATCTTTTATTACTACTTCTTTAACACAGATTTACTTGTCTTAGACAAGTAAGAATTTATAGAATCTATGCTTTATTGCACTATATAGAAACTAAAAATGCAGTTATACTGATGTAGTGCAGTTTGTGGGAAATCAGGGGTGGTGTTCTCCAGAATACATGAAGATTCTCAGTGAATGTTGCAAGGAATCACGAAAGAGATCTTTGGTCCAAAGAAGACGTCTCTGAAAGAAAGTAGAGCATCAATTAAATTCACCTTAAGGCTAAGATATTAGTCAGTCTTTTCTAGGTTAAAAATAGACAGTGATTTCCAGGATTTCAATTATGATTATTCTTTTTAGGTGACTAAAATGTAAAGAGATGTGTGGGAGGACTTGCCACAGAAGCAACAAAGACCAAGAAGGTTATTGATTTGTCTACTTTCCCCCCATTTGCCATTGAGATCATGCTATCGTTTATCTATGAAGAAAAAGAAATATTAGGTAATTTCAAAACTTTATGGCCATGTATACAATTTCATGTCTCTTATATGGGGAGAGGCCATGAAGTTTAAATCTGCAGTTAGGAAACAGAAGATTCAACATTTCTTGTTTATTAAATAAATTTCTAGGTTTTATGGGGAAAGGAGAAATGTTACAAAGCTACTCAACTTTCCCTGGCTGAAAAGATCACATAAAGTAATATATAAAAATGCATGGAATAATACAAAATTATATACAAATGCAAGGTGATATTATAATTATGGCTTATTAGAAATATACTTAGTAGTATTTCTCTTTGATTTTCCCAAAATCAAGTACATCTACACTGCTGTTCTCATCCATTAACAGAGATAATCGCAAAATTATATCATAATATAAATGTAAGTCCATTTCAGTAAACTGTTTTCAAGTCATACAAAAAAAGCAAACATGGCATTTTAATATTATTTGGCATTTCATTTATGTAGTACAGGAAAAATTGTCACTTCATGAGATTAATTAACTCAAGTTCTTGGCATCATTGTTTAGTGCAGTGATTCTTAAACTTTACTATGCATTAGAATCACCTGGCAGGTTTGTTAAAGCATAATTGCTGGGTCCCAGCCCGGTGCGGTGGCTCACACCTGTAATCCCAGCACTTTGAGAGGCTGAGGCCGGCGAATCACGAGGTCAGGAGATCGAGACCATCCTGGCTAACACAGTGAAACCCCATCTCTACTGAAAAAATACAAAAAAAAAA